AAAACTGCTGCATTTGTGAGAAATCATAGCTGTGACGCTGTGTCAGCTGGACCAACTGTGGAGGACAGCTGTAATACTGTGTCAGCTGGACTCACTGTGCACAGCTGTAATACTGTGTCAGCTGGACACACTGTGCACAGCTGTGATACTGTGTCAGCTGACCCACTGTGCACAGCTGTGATACTGTGTCAGCTAACCCACTGTGCACAGCTGTGATACTGTGTCAGCTGACCCACTGTGCACAGCTGTGATACTGTGTCAGCTGGACCCACTGTGGACAGCTGTGATACTGTGTCAGCTGGACCCACAGTGCACAGCTGTGATACTGTGTCAGCTGACCCACTGTGGACAGCAGTAATACTGTGTCAGCTGGACCCACTGTGGACGACAGCTGTGAGGCTGTGTCAGCTGGACCCACTGTGCACAGCTGTGATACTGTGTCAGCTGGACCCACTGTGGACAGCTGTGATACTGTGTCAGCTGGACCCACTGTGGACAGCTGTGAGGCTGTGTCAGCTGGACCCACTGTGCACAGCTGTGATACTGTGTCAGCTGGACCCACTGTGGACAGCTGTGATACTGTGTCAGCTGGACCCACTGTGGAGGACAGCTGTGAGGCTGTGTCAGCTGACCCACTATGGACAGCTGTGATACTGTGTCAGCTGGACCCACTGTGCACAGCTGTGATACTGTGTCAGCTGGACCCACTGTGAACAGCTGTGATACTGTGTCAGCTGACCCACTGTGGACAGCTGTGACATTGTGTCAGCTTGACCCACTGTGCACAGCTGTGATATTGTGTCAGCTGGACCCACTGTGGACAGCTGTGATACTGTGTCAGCTGGACCCACTGTGGACATCTCTGATATTGTGTCAGCTGGACCCACTCTGGACAGCTGTGATATTGTGTCAGCTGGACCCACTGTGGACAGCTGTGATACTATGTCAGCTGGACCCACTGTGCACAGCTGTGATACTGTGTCAGCTGGATCCACTGTGGACAGCTGTGAGGCTGTGTCAGCTGGACCCACTGTGCACAGCTGTGATACTGTGTCAGCTGGACCCACTGTGGACAGCTGTGATACTGTGTCAGCTGGACCCACTGTGGACAGCTGTGAGGCTGTGTCAGCTGGACCCACTGTGCACAGCTGTGATACTGTGTCAGCTGGACCCACTGTGGACAGCTGTGATACTGTGTCAGCTGGACCCACTGTGGAGGACAGCTGTGAGGCTGTGTCAGCTGACCCACTATGGACAGCTGTGATACTGTGTCAGCTGGACCCACTGTGCACAGCTGTGATACTGTGTCAGCTGGACCCACTGTGAACAGCTGTGATACTGTGTCAGCTGACCCACTGTGGACAGCTGTGACATTGTGTCAGCTTGACCCACTGTGCACAGCTGTGATATTGTGTCAGCTGGACCCACTGTGGACAGCTGTGATACTGTGTCAGCTGGACCCACTGTGGACATCTCTGATATTGTGTCAGCTGGACCCACTCTGGACAGCTGTGATATTGTGTCAGCTGGACCCACTGTGCACAGCTGTGATACTATGTCAGCTGGACCCACTGTGCACAGCTGTGATACTGTGTCAGCTGGATCCACTGTGGACAGCTGTGAGGCTGTGTCAGCTGGACCCACTGTGGACAGCTGTGATACTGTGTCAGCTGGACCCACTGTCACAGATGTGATACTGTGTCAGCTGGACCCACTGTGGACAGCTGTGATACTGTGTCAGCTGACCCACTGTGGACAGCTGTGATACTGTGTCAGCTGGACCCACTGTGGACAGCTGTGATACTGTGTCAGCTGGACCCACTGTGCAGAGCTGTGATACTGTGTCAGCTGGACCCACTGTGGACAGCTGTGACACTGTGTCAGCTGACCCACTGTGGACAGCTGTGATACTGTGTCAGCTGGACCCACTGTGCACAGCTGTGATACTGTGTCAGCTGACCCACTGTGGACAGCTGTAATACTGTGTCAGCTGGACCCACTGTGCACAGCTGTGATACTGTGTCAGCTGACCCACTGTGCACAGCTGTGATACTGTGTCAGCTGGACCCACTGTGGACAGCTGTGATACTGTGTCAGCTGGACCCACTGTGGACAACTGTGATACTGTGTCAGCTGACCCACTGTGGACAGCTGTCATACTGTGTCAGCTGGACCCACTGTGGACAGCTCTGAGGCTGTACACCTCCCCCTCCCAGGTACCCTCAGCACTGCACAGACATTCTGAGTAGGTTCATTGGGCTGGGTCTTGAGCTAAAGAAACATTAGCACTCTTACCAACTGAGTGCAGCAAGTCACAACATTCAACCTCTGCCTTATGGTGGAAAGTATAGTAACACCGAAAAATAAAGGTGAGACAGATACAAAGAGTTCCTAAGCAGTTTCCGGAATGCGTGGTAGAAAGCCTCCCCACCAACATTGCTGTTCTCATCTATGAGGGCAGGGCCAGGGCAGGGCATAGTTCTAACCTGCCTTCTCTCCGCCCCCCTCCACTCCCTCCTCCTTCTCTTTTTCTTTCTTCCTTTCTTTCTTTTTTCTTGATTTTTTTGGGGGGTCGTGGGGCCTGAACTCTGGGTCTGGGCGCTGTCTCTCAGCTCTTCAGCTCAACACTAGCGCTCTACCATTTCAGGTTTTCTGAGTGGTTTATTGGAGATAAGAGTCTGATGGATTTTGCTGCCCAGGTCGGCTTTGAACTTCAGTCCTCAGAGCTTAGCCTCCTGAGTAGGTAGGATTACAAGTGTGATCCACCGGTGCCCGACTCTCCTTCCTTTCTGTGTTCCATGAACACCAGCATGTATGCATACATGTCCTCATCCCTTTGTGCACACACCCATGAATGCACACATGAGCAATGCATGAGCAGCCTCTTCAGTCTCCTATGTGGTCAGTGTCAAGGGCCACCTCTCAGCAGGAAGGCAACATTAGCAGTGAGTCCTCCAGTCTGACAGCAGCATTACAGAGGCCCGTACCTTCAAGACATCTAGGGAGGTGGCCAGGGAGCCTGCTGGAGGCACCTGCTGTGGCCCAAACATGCTCATCTCCATTTACAACCCAGACTGATGTTTGATGAAACACAGAGCCCATGTACAGCCGTGGATCAGTGCAGTGTGAAAACGTATAGTCACAAAGGTGCTTCAAAAGTAAGAATTCATTAGAGTTGCCGCCACCCACCTATCTCAGCCTGAATTCAATACAACACACCTGGGTCATTTGACCAGAACCCTGAGACTTGGAGCTGGACAATGGGCCCAGAGCCTGTGGGTGCTATGGCCTAGCACTAGAGCCTTCTAGCTACTCGGGAGCTGAGGCCAGGAGAAAAGCAGTTTGAAGTCTGTTCCGGCAAAAATGTCAGGAAGACTTCATCACCAATCAATCATCAAAAAGCCAAACTAGAGTACGGGCCAGAATAAAGAAAGAAAAAGAGGGGAGGGGAGGCAAGAGGGAAGGAGAGAGAGGAGGAGAGGAGAGAGGAGGGGAGGAGAGGAGGGAGGAGAGAGGAGGGGAGGAGGAGAGAAGAGGAGGGGAGGAGAGGAAGAGGAGAGGAGAGGGGAGGGGAGGAGAGAGGAGGGGAGGGGAGGAGAGGAGGAGAGAAGAGAGGAAGGGAGGAGAGGAGGGGAGGAGAGGAGGGGAGGAGAGGAGGAGAGAAGAGAGGAAGGGAGGAGAGGAGGGGAGGAGAGGAGGGGAGGAGAGGAGGGGAGGAGAGGAGGGGAGGAGAGAGGAGGGGAGGAGAGGAGAGGAGAGGAGAGAGGAGGGGAGGAGGGGAAGGGAGGAGAGAGGAGAGGAGGGGAGGGGAGGAGAAGAGGGGAGGGGAGGAGAGGAGGAGGGGAGGAGGAGATGAGAGAGGAGGGGAGGAGGAGAGAAGAGGAGAGGAGAGAGGAGGGGAGGGGAGTGGAGTAAGGGAGGAGAGGAGGGGAGGAGAGAGAAGGGAGAGGAGAAGAGGAGAGGAGAGGAGGGAGGAGGGGAAGAGAGGAGAGAGGAGGGGAGAGGAGGGAGGAGGGGAAGAGAGGAGAGAGGAGGGGAGGAGAAGAGGGGAGGAGAGAGGAGAGGAGAGGAGGGAGGAGAGGATGAGGGGAGGGGAGGAGGGGAGGGGAGGAGGGGAGGAGGGGAGGAGAGGAGGGGAGGGGAGGAGGGGAGAGGAGAGGAGAGAGGAGGGGAGGGGAGGAGAGGAGGGAGGAGAGAGGAGGGGAGGAGAGGAGGGGAGGAGAGGAGGGAGGAGAGAGGAGGGGAGGAGAGGAGAGGAGAGGAGAGAGGAGGGGAGGGGAGGAGGGAGGAGGGGAGGGGAGGGGAGGAGGGGAAGAGAAGAGGGGAGGGGAGAGGGGAGGAGGGGAGGAGAGAGGAGAGGAGGGGAGGGGAGGGGAGGGGAGGGGAGGTGGGGAGGGGAGGGGAGGAGGGGAGCAGAGGAGGAGAGGAGGGGAGGAGGGAGGAGAAGGCCTCGGCCTGCCACAGAGGCTAGGCAAGCTCACCTCACTTGGCCGTGTGGCTGCAGAGTGCTTCACCCCACCGCTGGTGCCCTGGACAAGAAGAGAGATGAGGTGAATAACTGAGCTAACTTCTATCCCAGAGGACTGGGGGTGTTTCCTCTGGTCCAACCTCCACTCCCAGCCAACATTTTCCTCCAGAAACAGACCTGGCTTGGCTCTCCCTGGCCAGGAGATGGCTGGGCAGGGAGAGCAAGGGTAGGCCAGTGCCCACCACACTTTCCAGCGTACCTGAGCAGGGCCGGGCACCAAGCAGACCTGGCACCTCCTGAACAACCAGCCCAGATCCTTGGATGTCTCCTCCGGCAGAACGGGTCATGGTGTTCAAGGGCTTCCTTCCCTTGAGGGGTCAGGGCCGAGGGCCTATTCCACTCAATGCTACGACGTGCTGTAACCCTGTGACAGACCGGAGCCCCCCTGAGCGCCTGGGAGGAGGGAGGGCAGCCCCTCCGGGTGAGTCACGCCTCGCTCTCTAATCATCACTAAGAAAGACTTTGCTGACGGCAGCGTTTGCAGCCTCCATGTGAGCCGGGGAGGCGGCAGCCTGAGCAGCAGCTCTGGGCACCATGAGCCTCACCGAGGAGCAGGTGCGGAGCTTCCTGGATGGGAACCCCAGCTTCGCCCACGAGTACTTCGGGAAGAAGCTGAGCCCCGAGAATGTGGCTGGGGCCTGCGAGGATGGGCGTCTGGTGGACTGTGACAGCTTGCGTGAGCTGTGCCAGGTAGAGGAGAGCGTGGCGCTGTTCGAGCTGGTACAGGACATGCAGGAAAGCATCAACATGGAGCGCGTGGTCTTCAAGGTCCTGCGGCGCCTGTGCACCATCCTGCATGCCGACCGCTGCAGCCTCTTCATGTACCGCCAGCGCAACGGCGTGGCCGAGCTCGCCACGCGGCTCTTCAGCGTGCAGCCGGGCAGCCTCCTGGAGGACTGCCTGGTGCCCCCCGACTCTGAGATCGTCTTCCCACTGGACATCGGGGTTGTGGGCCACGTGGCTCAGACCAAGAAGATGGTGAACGTGCCGGATGTGGCAGAGGTGGGTGTGTGTGCGGCAGAGGTGTGTGCGAAGGCCAGGCCCTGGGCCCTCCCTCCCCTTCAAGAATCCAGCAGGGGCCTCCTGTCCAGGGCCAAAGCTCGATTCCTGCGGCGGAATCCTTGGAGCCCCACCTTTCTGCTCCACCCGCTCCTAGAGCAAGTGTCTAGCCTTTTGGTGTCCCTCCCAGAAGCTGCCCCTTGGCACCATGAGTGAAGAGGAGAGCTCGGGAGGGCCCCCTGTGTCCCACGCAAGTGAGCCCAGCAATGCTTCTCATGCTAAAGTCTTTGATCAGGCCAGAGAACAAACAGACTTAGGCTCTGACCTTGTGACCAGGTCCTAAATTTGGGGCTCCCTGGTGCCCATTGGGCCATGGACTGTGAGGGCCTGAGGGCCGCCTGGTGCCCGTGGGGCCGTGGACTATGAGGGCCTGAGGGCCGCCTGGTGCCCGTGGGGCCGTGCAGACTGAGGGCCTGAGGGCCGCCTGGTGCCCGTGGGGCCGTGGACTGTGAGGACCTCAGGGCCCCCTGGTGCTCGTGGGGCCGTGCAGACTGAGGGCCTGAGGGCTCCCTGGTGCCTGTGGGGCCGTGGACTGTGAGGGCCTGAGGGCCTGAGGGCCGCCTGGTGCCCGTGGGGCCGTGCAGACTGAGGGCCTGAGGGCCGCCTTGTGCCTGTGGGGCCGTGCAGACTGAGGGCCTGAGGGCCCCCCGGTGCCTGTGGGGCCGTGCAGACTGAGGGCCTGAGGGCCCCATGGTGCCCGTGGGGCCGTGCAGACTGAGGGCCTGAGGGCCCCCTGGTGCCCGTGGGGCCGTGCAGACTGAGGGCCTGAGAGCTGCCTGGTGCCTGTGGGGCCGTGGACTGTGAGGGCCTGAGGGCCGCCTGGTGCCCGTGGGGCCGTGCAGACTGAGGGCCTGAGGGCCGCCTGGTGCCCGTGGGGCCGTGCAGACTGAGGGCCTGAGGGCTGCCTGGTGCCCGTGGGGCCGTGCAGACTGAGGGCCTGAGGGCTGCCTGGTGCCCGTGGGGCCTGCACAGACTGTGAGGGCCTGAAGCTTTCAGGATCCTGGGGGAAGGCAGTGGCCAGAGGGGATAGCGAGCCTCCTAGAGGTGTCTGAGCCTGCCGGGCCAGGCCAGAGATCGCCCAGCGGCAGCTCCACACTCCCACAGTACCACACCGCTCTCCTCCCCACTGGTGCTGGGTGGGGAGGCGGGGTGGAGGGGGCAGTGTGCAGCGCTGAGATACTCAGGCCCAGTCTGGGAGCAGACTCACTGACAGAGGAAAGGGCTCCGGAAGACCTGCCTACATGGCTGGGCGGGAGCAACGTAGGTCTAGCCTGCTGAGTGCAGGGCTCCCTTGATGTGAGGATGGCAGACAGGCTCTGAGTGCGCAGCGGGCCAGGGGCCTCTGAGGGAGAAGGCCAGTGCGGGCCAGGGGCCTCCGAGGGAGAAGGCCAGCACCAGCCTCCTTCTTCCAGTTCCTCTCCTGTCTCCTCTTCCTTTTTTCCCTTCCCTGAGGGACCCAGGCAGCCTCATGTCCTTCTGCCCAGGTTCCCCAGGTCCTAGCGAAGGGCTCCCCAAGGGAGTCCCACCTGGACAGCCTCCCCAAAGAGCGCCATTTGCTCCCCTTCCAGCCAGGTGGGAAGGCTAGGCCCCAGGGCAGCCGCAATCCTCTTAGGCTTATCTGCTATAAACAGGCAGCGGTCCAACGACCTGAATAGAGTAATCTGTAGGATTAGCTTGGTTGTTACTTCCTTTTTAAGAAATGGGTCATCCACGAGCCACTTGGAATAACAGGAGCAGGAAAACAAGAAAGTTGGCAGTTGGTCGGTGGCTTGTGTGGGGCGTGAGCACTTCCACACCGACCTTTCTCCTGCTTCCACGCACCCTTCCTTCTCTTTCTTTCTAGCTCCCCCTCCCTCCCTCCCTCCCTCCCTCCCTCCCCCCCTCCCTCCCTCCCTCCCCCCCCCTCCCTCTCCACCCTCCCTCCCTCCTTCCTTTCCTTCCCTTCCTTCCATGTCCTCTTTCCCTTCCTGCTCACATAATCTCCAAGACAAAATTTCATCTTTAAGTCTGGACCGCTCCTCCACCTGCTGCTGCTCCTCTCACACCTGTGGGGATGACGGTGCCCTCCTCTGTGGGGATGACGGTGCCCTCCTCTGTGGGGATGACCGTGTCCTCCTCTGTGGGGATGACCATGTCCTCCTCTGTGGGGATGACCGTGTCCTCCTCTGTGGGGATGACCGTGCTCTCCTCTGTGGGGATGACGATGCCCTCCTCTGTGGGGATGACCGTGTCCTCCTCTGTGGGGATGACCATGTCCTCCTCTGTGGGGATGACGGTGTCCTCCTCTGTGGGGATGACCGTGTCCTCCTCTGTGGGGATGACCGTGCCCTCCTCTGTGGGGATGACGATGCCCTCCTCTGTGGGGATGACCGTGTCCTCCTCTGTGGGGATGACCGTGTCCTCCTCTGTGGGGATGACCGTGCCCTCCTCTGTGGGGATGACGATGCCCTCCTCTGTGGGGATGACCGTGTCCTCCTCTGTGGGGATGACGGTGCCCTCCTCTGTGGGGATGACCGTGTCCTCCTCTGTGGTGATGACGGTGTCCTCCTCTGTGGGGATGACGATGTCCTCCTCTGTGGGGATGACGATGTCCTCCTCTGTGGGGATGACCATGTCCTCCTCTGTGGGGATGACCGTGTCCTCCTCTGTGGGGATGACGGTGCCCTCCTCTGTGGGGATGACCATGTCCTCCTCTGTGGGGATGACCGTGTCCTCCTCCATGGGGATGACGGTGCCCTCCTCTGTGGGGATGACCGTGTCCTCCTCTGTGGGGATGACCATGTCCTCCTCTGTGGGGATGACGGTGTCCTCCTCTGTGGGGATGACGATGTCCTCCTCTGTGGGGATGACCATGTCCTCCTCTGTGGGGATGACCGTGTCCTCCTCTGTGGGGATGACGGTGCCCTCCTCTGTGGGGATGACCATGTCCTCCTCTGTGGGGATGACCGTGTCCTCCTCTGTGGGGATGACGGTGCCCTCCTCTGTGGGGATGACCGTGTCCTCCTCCATGGGGATGACGGTGCCCTCCTCTGTGGGGATGACCGTGTCCTCCTCTGTGGGGATGACCATGTCCTCCTCTGTGGGGATGACGGTGTCCTCCTCTGTGGGGATGACGATGTCCTCCTCTGTGGGGATGACCATGTCCTCCTCTGTGGGGATGACCGTGTCCTCCTCTGTGGGGATGACGGTGCCCTCCTCTGTGGGGATGACCATGTCCTCCTCTGTGGGGATGACCGTGTCCTCCTCTGTGGGGATGACGGTGCCCTCCTCTGTGGGGATGACCATGTCCTCCTCTGTGGGGATGACCGTGTCCTCCTCCATGGGGATGACGGTGCCCTCCTCTGTGGGGATGGCCGTGTCCTCCTCTGTGGGGATGACCATATCCTCCTCTGTGGGGATGACGGTGTCCTCCTCTGTGGGGATGACGATGTCCTCCTCTGTGGGGATGACCATGTCCTCCTCTGTGGGGATGACCGTGTCCTCCTCTGTGGGGATGACGGTGCCCTCCTCTGTGGGGATGACGGTGCCCTCCTCTGTGGGGATGACCGTGCCCTCCTCTGTGGGGATGACCGTGTCCTCCTCTGTGGGGATGACCATGTCCTCCTCTGTGGGGATGACCGTGTCCTCCTCTGTGGGGATGACCGTGCTCTCCTCTGTGGGGATGACGATGCCCTCCTCTGTGGGGATGACCGTGTCCTCCTCTGTGGGGATGACCATGTCCTCCTCTGTGGGGATGACGGTGTCCTCCTCTGTGGGGATGACCGTGTCCTCCTCTGTGGGGATGACCGTGTCCTCCTCTGTGGGGATGACCGTGCCCTCCTCTGTGGGGATGACGATGCCCTCCTCTGTGGGGATGACCGTGTCCTCCTCTGTGGGGATGACCGTGTCCTCCTCTGTGGGGATGACCGTGCCCTCCTCTGTGGGGATGACGATGCCCTCCTCTGTGGGGATGACCGTGTCCTCCTCTGTGGGGATGACGGTGCCCTCCTCTGTGGGGATGACCGTGTCCTCCTCTGTGGGGATGACGGTGTCCTCCTCTGTGGGGATGACGATGTCCTCCTCTGTGGGGATGACCATGTCCTCCTCTGTGGGGATGACCATGTCCTCCTCTGTGGGGATGACGATGTCCTCCTCTGTGGGGATGACCATGTCCTCCTCTGTGGGGATGACCGTGTCCTCCTCTGTGGGGATGACGGTGCCCTCCTCTGTGGGGATGACCATGTCCTCCTCTGTGGGGATGACCGTGTCCTCCTCCATGGGGATGACGGTGCCCTCCTCTGTGGGGATGACCGTGTCCTCCTCTGTGGGGATGACCATGTCCTCCTCTGTGGGGATGACGGTGTCCTCCTCTGTGGGGATGACGATGTCCTCCTCTGTGGGGATGACCATGTCCTCCTCTGTGGGGATGACCGTGTCCTCCTCTGTGGGGATGACGGTGCCCTCCTCTGTGGGGATGACCATGTCCTCCTCTGTGGGGATGACCGTGTCCTCCTCTGTGGGGATGACGGTGCCCTCCTCTGTGGGGATGACCGTGTCCTCCTCCATGGGGATGACGGTGCCCTCCTCTGTGGGGATGACCGTGTCCTCCTCTGTGGGGATGACCATGTCCTCCTCTGTGGGGATGACGGTGTCCTCCTCTGTGGGGATGACGATGTCCTCCTCTGTGGGGATGACCATGTCCTCCTCTGTGGGGATGACCGTGTCCTCCTCTGTGGGGATGACGGTGCCCTCCTCTGTGGGGATGACCATGTCCTCCTCTGTGGGGATGACCGTGTCCTCCTCTGTGGGGATGACGGTGCCCTCCTCTGTGGGGATGACCATGTCCTCCTCTGTGGGGATGACCGTGTCCTCCTCCATGGGGATGACGGTGCCCTCCTCTGTGGGGATGGCCGTGTCCTCCTCTGTGGGGATGACCATATCCTCCTCTGTGGGGATGACGGTGT